GGAAGTCAAGGAAGGCACAAGAAAAACAAAAAAAGAAAAAATACTAAAATTGAACTTTAAAATCAAAAGCAAATTATCCTTAATTTTTCTTCTTTCTTTGTATTATGTACGTAGATTTTTTCTATTTTTTTTTTTCAAGGATAACATATTAGTATGAGTTGGGTATATGTAATAAAAATATAGGTATAAGGTGTACCATAAAAAATGATTTGCAAGTTGCTATAGCAAATTTCGATTTAAATCGAAAAGATCTGGAAGATTATTTTCTTTACCGTAATTGTAGAATCTTGGCTGTCATATAAAAATTTTGTTCGATTTTCTGGTATACGGTCCAGGAACATAATGAAGAGCATATTCATTTTACTCGAAAAATAAATGAAATGAATACATCGAGCGTAAATTAATCTTTCTCCTTTGGTAAAGTAATTTAGAAATGGTTCGTATAACTTTTTCCTCTTTTCGATTTTATTATTTATATTACAATTTAGATTCCTTTAATTATTAAAAACAATTACGCATAAATTTCTCGCAGTATATTAATTTTTTTCGATATTTAAAATGTTTTTTAAACTACAATGTTGACATAGCATATTCAATTTTGTTTATGAAATTACTGAACTCTCCTTATTTGTTGAGAGGTTTGAAATAGTTTCACAGTAACACTCAATCAACGTTTTCGGAGAGAGAAGAAAATCTACAGCGGAATGAGAAAAATTTTCATGTAAATGATGTTTTATAAAATGTTGATTCGAACCGGGCAAATGAGTTCAGCTGAAGAGTTAAAGAGTTTTTGTTATTTTTGATATGGGCTGCAAATTCGAGTGTAAAAGGATAATGAATGATTGACAGGGAATAGAAATAAAACGTACTTTTCTGCTATTATTACGAAACTGCCGTTATTCTAATAATTCCAAATGTTTTATTTAGCATGTTCAAATGTCTGGGAAATCTCTATGTTTGGAAGTTTATTTCAACAAACCACTGTTTTTATGAAACACTGAGTTAAACATTTAGGTAACTAATTTTTTTATGTGGTACAAGAAATATTTCTTTTTCAACGTTGCTTTCTCTTTTGTTCATTTGGTAAGAAGGATGAATCAAGCGAAAGTTAAATAGACTATAAAGTACATTACAACAACAAGCATAAATTGAAATAGAAATAGAAAATTTTGCAGAAAAAAGTACGAAGGCAAAATTATAGAAAATAAAATTGCTGGTTGTCTGGATTTCAAATAGATTCAAGTGAAATTTAAGGTCCCTTTTTTTATTTTCGCATTCACTGGTAATTTCCAGTTCGTCATTTTTTGTTTTGTTGAATTTTTCAACTTTTCCCCCTTTTTTTAGTTTTATTTTGATTTTTTTTTATTTGGTCGCTTTATTAAGGGAACGTATGCGACACAAAAGGGATAAAATGTCAAGGAACACTAAAATGACATTTCTAGAAGGTTTTTTTTGCAGTTTGTCTTTCACTTTTTCTCTTTTATAAAATAAATAATGCATAATAAAACGAGACGAGTCTAGTCCTTATTTGCTCTTTTTACTTTTTTTTCTCTTGCAAATATTAAATAAAGGAGAAGAATGGTTTTGGTTAATGGTGTTAGCATATTTAAGAACGAGGTGTCCGTCAAAAGATAGTGAATTTAATAATTTTTCTGCAGATGAGTAATGAAAAAAATTGCTTCATTCTTAAGGTAGGTGTTTGAATTTTAATTATATCAGATTTTTAGAACTTGAAATTTTAAAGTGTAAATAAGGTTTACAATGCAGAGCGCACTTATGTCTTGATTTATACTACTTCAAGCATTAAACAAAGGTAACTAACTTTATTTCTAAAAAGTAAAAACAGACTTGGAACGTTCTCATAAGGTAATTGTTGATACGGCATTTTATTCATCAGCTGATGTCTAAAAATATTGATCCCATTTTTGTTGTTGGTATAACATCAGAAATTTGGGATCGGTGAGCATGGAACGAATCAACAATTAGAAAAATCTGCTCGGTTATTAAAGGTAAATTTTTTTTCAATCTTGTTCTTATGTTAGAAAAATGGTCCTTATGAGCAGACTTTATGAAGAAATTTCTGTAGCATTCTAATACAAGTTAAATTTAATATAAGTTATTAACAATTAGTAAATAATTGACGTTGTTTTTATTTGCGTTTAGAATGGTGGGAAACTACAGTTTTAAGGAGTTTGAAATTTAAAGATTTTGTTCATATAAGTTAGATTTTTGGGTTTTCAACATTCATTAAATATCCTATTTTCGAACATATTAAGTTTCGTATTGATTTTCTTTTCCACTAACAAGTTGTGCTATTTATTAGGCGATTGCTTGGAATCATTACTTATTTCAGTACCGAAAAAAGCACAAGGCCCTGGAGAGTTTTATACCCACTTTATATAAATTAAAATTATGTAAATACTTCTTGTTTTTATAATTTCAGATTAGCCTATTGTAATATTTTAAATCTGAAAACAAGAAATTATTTAATATAATCGCTTATAGTAATAGACAAGGAAATTTATTCTTATTCAAAGAATGCAAAATAATCTTCGTCCACAATAAAAATTTAAATAAATTTAAAGAGTTCCAAAAAAAAAGAACTAAAAATAAATAAAATATGGGAAAGAATGTAAACTTATATCAAGATTAATGTCCTTCTTTTTCTAAGAAATTGAAATTCAAGTGTATAATAGAAAAGAATAGAAACTAGAAAAATATAAAAGAGAAAGGATTGACGTCATAATAAAGAGTATATGAGGATGTTGGAAAATTTTGTTCTTTCTAAATTTTTATTTTTGCTGGTTTCTTTTTTTAAATGATGTCTCAGTGAAAAATCTTGAAAATAAAAAAAAATCCTTGTCAGAAAAGTTTTATTTTCTATTTAAAATATTTAGGAAGATTTATTTTATTTTTGGGTTTTGTGCTGATTTCACTAAAAAAAATCCTTAAAAAAATAATAGTTGAAAATGGAAAACGAAGTATTTTAGAAGTTTCTCCATTTTGCAATTTAAAAAAGAAAAATGGCTTTCATGGTGTCTCAGTCAAAACTATGATAAAAAAGAATTATGTTGGAAATGATTTTAGAAAGAAGGAATTCCCAAACATTGTTCAAAGCTTTTTTAATTTAAAATTTTGGTAAAGTTTTATGAATTTCTTTTAAAATCTATATTGTAAAGAATTTATTTAAAAATGTGCATTTGTTAAGATTTAGTTCTTGTGATACTCTTCAATGTTTTTTATTTGTGAAGAATTTTCTTCTGCGAAAAGCCATTTTCAATTAATGTTGTTGCTAAATACTTCTGAAATTTCCAGAATAAATTACCATTTTGTTAGTAATAATTTTTTTAAAATAATTGAAATTAATTAATTTTGTACAAAAAAAATTTAATTTGTAAAACTTTAGAATGATTCTACAAAATGGAAATAAAACGAAATAAACCGTCTGCAAATTTTTCACATTTAAAAATTTTATTCAATAATGGAAGTGGCACTGCTGACAAACAAGTTAGTTTTACTTTAAAGGGAGTTATTGGATAGTTCATAAAATCGAAATAAAATACAAGAAATTTTAATATTTAAAATTTTATTCTGTTTCAAAGAAATTAATAGAGGAAGAAATTCTCAAAGTTTTAGATACAATGTAAATTTTCATGGAATTCAATTAAGTTTTCTATTTTAAACTACAGCATGTTTAAACACATAGTACAAAAATGTCCGCAAATATTAAATGAAAATTTTACTTTTTATAAAATAAAATTGGTTAATGTTCTAAAATAGAAGAGTTCATGATGTCAAAATGATTGCTTGTCAAAAATAGAAATATTTTTCTTATCAATAAAAAAATTTAATTTTTTCCGCAAATTTTGTTTTTTTTCCACTAGGTTTTATTACATTAGCATTTTTCATTTAAATTCTGGTTGTGGGGGAATACAAGTAGAAAAATATTGTTACGGACCGCACCGTATACAATAAGGTAGGTTATGATATGAAATGAAGTGGTCATATCAAAATGCATTTTTATAATCTTCTGTTCTCTTCCTTCATTCTCTTGCAATGAGTTCCATTAACCGAATTGTCACTAATGGCCCATTTTAATCTTCCATATGGGTACCAATTACCATCTAGAAATTTAAAACAAATGCACATAAAAAGAATTTTCAGTATATTGTACGAAAATTTTACAAGATGAGGAAAATTTTGTTTTCCATTATTTTTGAATGATTTGCGATTTTTTGATATAATGAATTAATTGAAATGAAATTCAACACTTGTAATAAACATTATTTTAATTCTAAAGTAAAGGTAGTTATGCAGCTCTATCAAATATATATTCAATAAAATTCAGCAGTCAAAAATGTTCTAACTATCACAAAAAGGCCTTTTATCTATGTAAAATGATATGTAAGCTATAACTTATAAGAAAATAAATTAAAAAATTATTGGAAATTCGTTATTGGATAAGTAAGTATATTAATATGTATTAGAAGTACACATGTAATTTCACTCAAGCCTCATTATAGTAGAATTGAATTTATAATGACATTACACTGAACTATGAGCGCTTTAATCACGTAATGCCAGTATAAATTACATTAATTTTCAAATAGTTAATTGAAAAATTTATTTAGTTCAATATGACAACTATAGTTTCTATATCTACATATATATGTTATATACTGAGTAATTGAATTATTTTACAAAATTAATTGATTTAATAAATTCAATAAAACTGGTTAATATTTCATATGAGATCAACTACTAAATCAACAAAATCTTTTCTATACCATATGCTCGTAGTGAAAATATTTGAAAAAAAAATCCATTATTAATTTTAAAAACTGGTCCAGTAAATATATACATTCTTGTATATACATAGTACATAGATATTTAATGAACCATTAATAAACAAACATATTATGTATGTGATTAATTTTATAATTCAAATAGTAACTATAATAATATATTAGTCTAATATTAAATAACGTCACAAATCTCACCTGTGCAAGGAATGCAACTTTATATGTTCATTAATCCGATTACTTCGAAATATTTTTCAATTCACGCAATTTATATAAAATTTCCAATGTAAGTGGAATCCTGAAACAAAAATAAAGAAATTAGGATAAGAAATTTATGCATTTACATTAATTATAATTTATTTAAAATATAAAATTTTATATGTATTTAATATTATATTTATTATTATATAAAAAATTTTTAGCTTTGCAATAATTATAATTAATGAGTTCATTAAGAATATAGCTTGCTCTATAATTTTTTAAGAATTTTAAATAATTGCTGTTATAATAATTCGCAATATAAATTGATGATGCAGCAAACAGATTAACTCCATTCATAGAGAAAATTGGGAGCTCATTTTATTGCAGCGAAAACTTTTATTGCTAGTCTAAGCAATGTTAAATATGTAAAAAGCGTTAAATAAATGACACAGCAAAAAATCTTACGTTTGATATTTATTACAGTAAAAATAGATGCCTACATGCCAAATTAAAATATTCGAATCAAAAGAAAAAATAATATAGGAACTGTTTCGATGAGATTTTATTTAAAGGTAGTGAAACGGTTTGGTTATGACCAAAGAACAAGCTCGAAAGTTGTTCCATCGATTGTTGCGCTTGGAATGACTATTAATAGCAGATATAACGATACTGAAGAATTAGAATGAAATAATAAATTAGCATGAAATACTGGTGTTCACCTATTTTCACTCAATAAACTTATCCCTTCTAATCCAAAAGAAATAAATTAGAAAAGTTTTAGTCATTATGTGATTAACTACTTATGTTTTAAATCCATGAGTACTACATTTAGTTTTTATATTTCTAAATATTATTTTCCGCTATTTCAAGTTAATTCCCCACTGTTAATTCCCAATTATATTTCAAGTTAATTGCCCACTGAACCACCTATTATGTGTATAGTTTTATGACTGAAACTCAGTGTATATTTAAGAAAGATCACAATTTATAACTTGAATACAAAATAGTTTTTTAAAATTGTCAATCTAATGGCCCAAAGCAGCATAACTGAATATCCTCATTTCTCTTACCAATGTCTCCTTATAAGAGATGTGACTGTTACGAAAACAAAAATGTTTTATAATTGCTTATTCAGTAAGATTTTTGTGGATCGACAGTGGCAAAATATAGTTAACAGATTTGGATTAATTAATCATTTTCTATACAGTTATAGGATTAAAGTTAATTTTGAGTCAAGTAACTTTTTTCTCAATTGTTGTAACAAGAAAAGAAATTTTATCCTACCATACCGTACACATAAAAGTTAAATTACTATATAATTACTAATTTTCATAATACATAGATGATCTATTTATGGTACATAATCATAAAATATTATCCTATACAATAACGTATAAGTTTTTGATTTCTTTGTAACCAGAGATTTAAACTCCTTGACTTTTTTATTTTATTCATTTTTTTCCCCGATTAATATGTGACTTGCATATTATAGATAATAACATAAATTAAAGAAAAAAATAAACTTAGTACAATAGTCGCAGTTAAGTCACTTAAATTGGCTACTTTACCACCAACAGGCATTTCATTCTTATATTTATGTACTTATATGTAATGTATTTAAAAATTTCATATTTATTGCATAGTGTACTTTTAAAATATATTTCTATATATAGAGACAGAGTAATGCCAGAGGCCCCGCAATTTGTTATAAAAACTGACTACATTCAACAATAATGTTTAAAGATCATAATTGCAAAAAGATTAATGACCATAACTTTAGTTTATGTATAAGAATTTTAAATGAAAACGGTAAGTAAAAGAAAAGTTGCAAAATTTATGATTTTAATTTCCAATGGTTAAAACAGTAATTTGAAGAAAAAGGGGTAATTTTGTGATTTTAAAATAAGCATTTATAAAAAGTAAGTGAATTAAGAATTATTTCCGGATTTTTTTTTGTTCTTAGCCTTATACTGCAATACTTATACTTTGAATTTTTTGATTTATTATCCTATTACAGTTTTGCTTTTTTAATTTTTCAAAACTATTAGCAGGACCTCCTTTAAGTCTCATATATATATACATATATAATATATACAACAAGTATTTTATAACTAAAGTTTAAATAAATAAATTATAAAGCTAATGAGGCCAAAGCAAATTAACATTTTCTTTATTTTTCCATTATAATTTTTGAAACTGGAAAAATTTCATTTTTGTACAGAGAGCAACAAATTTTTTGTTTTTGTTTTTTAGTATAGGTAGCCATTTTTGTTTTTTAGAAACTGATTTTGAGCTTTCTGAATAATGGGTGGAGGAAAACCGCAAAAAACAACAAAATGAACGAGCAAAAGTCCTTCAAGCGCCATCGGTTTTTCTTTTTGTACAAGAACAAGCAAAATTTGGTACCCTATTTTTGCGTATACATTATTTACATTAAATTTTGTTATAGAAGTTTGTAAGTATGTACAAGTTTATTCGAAGTTAAGAATTTTGTCGTTTTTGTTTTTTGGTATTTTACAAACATTTTGTTGCTCTTTTACGAAATAAAAGTTTGAAAATAAGAAAAAAAATTCTTTTTTTTCATAGCAATAAATTTTGTTTCATAAATCAAAAAAACAAAAAAAAATTTTTAGAAAAGTTTTCCTTTAAGAAATATTTTTCTAGTCTTTTTTCCAAAAACAAAAAAACAACAAAAACCTTAATAATATTGAAGTTTCTTTTAGCAAATAATCATCACAGTAAATTCCGGGCAATGTGAGCCAAAATTTGAAGAAATAATGGTAATCGTTGATTCCTCCAAATGAATAAGATAGTGTTACTTGATACATTTTTCATTTTTATCAATGAACAACTGGTCTATTTTTTTGGAAAATCACATGCGATGATCAACTACAATATTTATATTGCGAGAATTCAAAACTTTTGATAACATGATGCGACAAACTTAATTTCCACTAGAATTCGATAAATTTTATATAGTGGTAATTATTTTCTCTGTGGAAAATTTTTAACAAGAAAATGGAAACTGATCTTTTATATTTAACTTTATCGGCTCATTCTTGAGTAATTTTTGATAGATTACTTCGGGTGTTCGTCAATATTAAATTTATAACACAAGATATTTATAACATAAGATATAATAAATTTATTATAAAATTAGTTACTCTATTCTTGACTATTTTGTGAGAATTATAGAATCACATTATTCGGAAAAAATATTCTTCATTCCAATTTAGCGAGAATTTACTGTTTGCCGAATACATATTTTTTTTTCTACCTAACTTATAATAATTTTGCAGTTTTAACTGGTAACCACTTTCATTTTACCAAAGCAATAATTCAATTCAAAGCACACATTAAAAATGTTATACGACTGTATATTGAAGAATTATACGAAAATATTTCTATCAAAAGCATAGAAAGGGAGGGAAAATATGAAACGAAAGTTCAAGAATAAAATTTTAGAAAGAAAAGGGTTCTGTTTCCTGATTTTTTGCTTTATCTTTTTATGAATGACTTCTTAAAGATTTATTGGAGAACTTTGACAAAAAAGAATTGTTTTTTTGTTTTGGCTTCTTTTTTTAACCGCAATCATCAGTCTTCGTAATTTCTTAGCAGAAAGAAAAATCCATTAAGAAGAAAAATAACTAGAGATAATCACAATTTTGAAAAATTCTAAGAGAAAATTATGTATAAGTAGTAGTTATAACAGCAGCAACAGCAAAACAAAACAAGCTGCATAGCAAAGAAGAAGAGAAAAGGAACACAATTATTATACTACGACAATCATTGTCTGGACAGTAAAATTATTATGGCTTTGCGAAAAATCAGAGACCAAAATAAAAACTCTAAATTGCTGATTTTTTGTTTTTGTTTTTTTTTTATGTTATGTTAATGTCATATTTAAGTATCATAATCTACTATAAAAAACAAATCCTTTTATTATTATAATATTTTCAATTCACATCAGTATATTTGTGTGTTTGTATATAAATATTAAAACACAGTATGCAAAATAAATTTTTAGGGTGGCCGTTTATTTGTAATAAGCACGTACTCTACTTGTAATATTTTCAGATTTTTTTATTTGTGCTCTTTAACATGGTAATTAAGGTTCTATAGCAAAGTTTTGTTCCTTGAATGGGATTTTAAACTAGGGCTTTAACACTTTTATGTATTACAAGAGTAAGAGAGTGAATTTTTAATAATACGCAAAAACTTTTGTGTAACCTGAGCAACGCATTTTGCCTTCTTTTCAAATTTATTAAATATGATCACTCTTATATCCCCACGTGTTTAATTAATATGCGTGGGTACTTGTATGGTAGGTACAAAGTTGATATGTATATATACATAATTATACATTTAATAATTTACTTCATTTTTTATAAATTAAATTTTTCTCTGCAATATTTTTGGTATCGTTGTTTTGATTTCATTTAATCCTAAATAAATGGGGAAATTTAAATGGGGATTTCTATATTTCTTATAAGAATAACATGAATCAGGATATTGTTAGAGAATCCATCTTGTGCTTGCATTATTAGTTTATTTCACTTACTCATACTAATATTTAGCATATAACTAAAGGCAGAATTTAAACTGATAGGTGAAACTTCTTTGAAAAGAATTGCATTGCTTGAGACTCTCTGACATTTTTTAGATTTATAAATGGATATTTGAATATTTCTATCTTAAAACCTTTTTATTGATCTTCGTTTAAAAAACAATGTTTTTTTATTTCAATCCCTTTTAATTCAATTTAATTCTCCTTAAAAGCAAAAAATGTTTACCAATCAAAATTTTTAAATTGGTTTTTTCTTTATAACAATTTTTTAATGTACAAGCAATTATGTTTTTTTTAGTAATAGAGAAATTATGGCGAAACTAAAATTTTGATTATTTAATAATATTAAAAATAGAGATTGAAAAATAGAGATTTATTAGGAGAGCTCAATGAAGTAAAAATTTCTTGGCAAAGCTTGAAATGTGAACTGTTTAGATTAACTTCGGGAAAGTAGTAAATCACAGAAAGTCCCAATATTGTTACAAGTCCGCAGCAACACAAAGGTATTTTGATGTTATAATATTTAATAA